TGTCCATTTAAATTTTTTTCATCATCTCTAACAGAAACTTACTAAACAACAGCTTCCCATTCTGCCCTCCCCTCAGCCCCTGGTAATACTATTCTATATTCCATTCCCATGAATTTACCTATTTGAGAGAACTCATATGAGGGAATCATACCATAGTTGTCCCTTTGAATCTGGCTTAGTTCACATAGCATAACATTTTCAGGGTTCATCCATGTTGTAGCCTATATCAGAATCTCCTTTTTTCATTCCATTGTCTGTATAGACCACATTTTGTTTATCCATTCACTTGTGATTGGACGCCTAGTTTGCTTCCACCTTTTGGCTGTTGTGAATAATGCTGCTATGAACGTTGGTGTACAAGTATCTTGTTTGGGTCCCTACCTTCATTTCTTTTGCATATATACCTTAGTGGAATTGCTGGATTGTATGGTGACTCTTACATTTAACTCTTTGAGGAACCTTCAAACTATTTTCCACAATTGGCCACACTGAGCTAACTTATTTTTCTAATGATTTTATTTATCATTTATGAGAGACGCAGACAGAGAGAGGCAGAGACACAGGCAGGGAGAAGCAGGCTCCATGCAGGAAGCCTGATGCGGGACCTGATCCCGGAACCCCGGAATCATGCCCTGAGCCAAAGGCTCAACCACTGAGCTGCCCAGGTGTTCCTAACTTAAGCTATTTTAATGAAGAATGAATCTATTCCCAAAGCCTCATGTCAGCCTGGACTGGAAAGATTGGTCTAAAGGCCAGAGCCTCACTAGGATGTAAAATGTGGGTGCCCCATCGTAGCTACAGGAGAAACGACACACTGGATGCATCCAGAATAGGGTGACCAAGAGGAGTCACGTTAAGTAAAAAGTGGTTGAAGAGACTGGAGTGTTTGGCCTGGAGCAGAACAGGTGTCCTCTCCACATAGAATGGTCTCCAGGAGTGTGTAAGGCTGCCATGGGGCAGAGTGGATGGCTGTTTTTGTAGCCACGGAGGTAGAAGGGGAGAGCCGGGTGAAATTCTCCAGGAGACCCTCTTTGGTCAGATGCTGCTCTGAGAGCAGCAGTACCAACTCCCCTAACAACCTCCTTCCCCTGGGGCAATGACAGCAGGCTTGGAGAGGGTACCTGTGATGGGTCATGTGATGGGTCATCACTAAGGCTCCACGACCCGACCCGGGGAGGTCACCAAGGAGACAGCACAGAGCAGGGACTCATGCTTCATGGGATGCTCTCATTGTTGTTCTGTCTTGAACAGATGGGAAGGTTGAGCTCAGATTTTTTTCTTTTTTCTTTTTTTTTTTTTTTGGCAGTTGACAAAATCTTAGGCTTCCTTTTTTATGTGGGAAATCAGGAAGCATACAGTCTCAATACAAATAGTAGTGTAATTGCTGGATTATGAGTTTCATTTTGATAAATTTAAACATCAATCACAGTGAAATATTTAAGAACAGTCATTTTAGGGGATCCCTGGGTGGCGCAGCAGTTTGGCGCCTGCCTTAGGCCCAGGGCGTGATCCTGGAGACCCGGAATCGAATCCCACATCGGGCTCCCGGTGCATGGAGCCTGCTTCTCCCTCTGCCTGTGTCTCTGCCTCTCTCTCTCTCTGTGACTATCATAAATAAATAATAAAAGAAAAAATAAAAAAAGAACAGTCATTTTATTTGAATGGTTTCTCTAGAAGTTGGAAAAGAAAATGTGATCAGAGGTAAGAAGAGTTTTGAGACTTAAAACTCTGCTTTGCTCAGGTATTCTAACACCTTTGGGTTCCTCTATGGGGGGGGGCCTCAATAAACAGAACACAAGAGCACAGACGCAGCATCTGGAGGGTATGTTTCTTTTTTTTAAGATTTTATTTATTTATTCATAAGAGACACAGAAAGAGGCAGAGACACAGGCAGAGGGAGAAGCAGGCTTCATGCAGGAAGCCTGATGCAGGACTCAATCCAGGAACCCCAGGACCATGCCCCAACCTGAAGGCAGATGCTCAGCCACCCAGGTATCCAAGCAGGGTGCATTTCTTCTTGAATCTGCCTCTCTGTACCACTTATTTCTCAGCCTTTTTATTGCGTTTCCTTTTTGTTTTCTGAGTCTTGTTTATTACAAAAGCAGTGCATGCTTCAGATAGGTATTGCACTGAACAGCAAATATTTCTGGTTCCCTTGTGGCGCATGTGTGGCATTACATTTCTCTACTCCCTTAAAGTTAGGTGGGGCCATAAGACTTGTTTGGGCCAATAAAATGGGAAGTGATTTGTTACTTTTAGATGGAAACTTTAAGAACCTGTGTGCAATTAACATTTCTTTCTTTTTTTTCTCTCTGCCTGGCAACCTATAACACCCCAAATGGTGGCTGTTCTGTAAGCCTGGGTCCCTGAGTGAGGATGACACCCGGCAGGCCCCAGCCCGCTCTCAATGGACATGGAGCCTGAAGGAAAAATAAACCTTTGGGTTAGCCTTCCATGAACTGTAGCTTTCATTAGAAATAAACTTTGTTGTTTTAAGCCACTGAGATTTTGGGAGTGTCGCTATAGCATAAATAGCTCGTTAGAAAAATCCTTCAACAAATATTTATAGGGCAGCCCCGGTGGCTCAGCGGTTTAGCGCCACCTTCAGTCCGGGCCTGAGCCTGGACACCCAGGATCGAGTCCCGCCTCGAGCTCCCTGCATGGAGCCTGCTTCTCCGCCTGCCGGTGTCGCTGCCTGTCTCTCTGTGTCTCTCATGACTAAATAGATAAATCTTTAAAAATATATATTTATATGCCAGGCTTCTGGCAATGTAACAGGGCACAAGAAAGCCTTCAACAAGCTGCCAAGCCCTACTATCAGAGAACTATATTCTAGCAGGGACGATAACCGCTATACAATTAGCCATTTAATCGTTAAAATCTGGAGAAGTCCAGAGCCCTGCAGAGTGCATAGGGCACATGACCTGCTATGGCCCAGGGTCAGGGAGACGTCTCCTGGAAGATATGAAGCTGGGATCCAAAGGACGGCTGGGAGTTAGCCGGGGGAAAGGGAGGATAGTGTCCCACGCAGAGGGAACAATAGGAGCAAATAGGAGCAATAGGAGCGGGAGTGGCGGGAATGCCCAGAACAGGGCACAGTCGTGCTGGGAGGCAGGGAGGACGCAGCGCCCTGGCCGCTCTGCTTGCGGACCTTGGTAGGACGTTTGGTCTCGTCCCGGGAGCAGTGGGTCACCATGTTTGGGTCAGAGGGGTCAGATGACATTTTTTTAGAGGGCAACAACCAACACAGGATTATCAAGGCAAGGAGTGTCAAGCGAGGGAAAAAAATCTATCTCGAGTTGGCTTTGGCCGCGACAGTACGTGATGCAGCCCCAAAGCCAACCGCAGGTGGCTCTGCCTGCACGTGCGGCCGCCGCGGGAGCCCCTGCCCGGCGGCCACCCCGCGGCGAGCTGGGGCCTCTGCGCTCAGACCCGGCGGGCGCGCGCTGCAGCCTCCCACCGCCAGGGGGAGACGGGACGCCCCGGCCCGGCCTGGGGGCACCGGGCGGCCCGGATTCCGACCCGCAGGTTTGGGTCTGTGCACCCGCTGAAGCCCCGCGTTCCCCCCGCCCACGTTTACGCTCATGCCCTGCTCTAGAGGAGCAGACGCGGGGACCCGTCATCCGCCAGGTCGTGAGTCCTGTTCCCATCCCTCCGCCCGCGGCCCCACAGACCCCCCCTTGTCTCCAGGTTCCGTTCCTCACCCTCCGCCTCTTCCTTCTACCCCCGGAGAGGAGACTGTCCGCAGGGCTCCTGACCCAGCGCAACTTCACGTCTCCGGCTGACCGGGCCTGGGTCCCAACCCCGAGCTCGCGTGGACTGTGTGGACCCGCACCCCGCCGCCCTGCCTCTCTGAGCCCCGGTCCACAGGTCCCCAGGTCCCCGGCGCCTGCGGGCCCTCCCCCTGGGCCTCCCGCGGCCCCCGCACGTCTCCGGGGCCAAGGTCGGCTCCGGGTGCAATCGCCCGGGGGGGGGGGGGAGGGGGTACGGAGCGCAGCCGCGGCCTCCGCGGGCGCCCGGCACAGCGCCCCCGGGCGGCCTGAGGCGCTCGCTGCAGCTTCTCGGCGGCCCAGCAGGCTCCGGCCGCGGCCTCCTCTCCTCCTCGGCTTCCTTCCAGCGTCAGCGGCCCGCGCGCCTCGCTCTCCGGGTCTTCCCACGGCGGAGACTGCGGGACCCACCTGGCCTCGCAGCGGACCAGACGCCGTCGCCTCCCGCAGGTCCAACCAGCCGGGCCTGAGGGACAGGACTGGTTTTACCCGACGGGTAGTACTAAGCGTGGACATCCCCCTGGGACAGTTCTTCAGGGGACGGGGTGGGGGTGGTGAGAGTGTTAGCCCGGTTGGCGGGAGTGCTTCCTTCCCCCTCGCTGTAATTCTTCCCCTTACAGACAAGATCCTGGAAAGAATCTGCTTCTGCCTTTTTTTTTTTTCCCACTTCCTCACCTTTCTGTCACACACTTTTTCTGTCTCATTTTTTTTAAACACCACTTTTCTATTTTTTAAAAATCTCGAGCCTATAGAAAGGTTGAAAGAAAGTACAATGAACACACAGACCCTTTACCTAGACGGGGTTCTCAACCTCCACCCCATAACGTTTGGGGCTGGAGAATTTGTTGTTGTGGGAGCCTGTCCAGTGCATTGTGGGATGTTTAGCAGCATTCCTGACCTCTACCCACTAGATGCTCGTGGTATCCCCTCAACTGAGACAACCGAAAATATTTCAGACATCACCAAATGTCCTTGGGGAGGCAAAATAGCCGCCAGTTGAGAGCCACTGACCTAGATTCAGGAACTAACATTTTGTCATATTTACACCTGTACACACTGTGTATATACATGTATCCACATGTAAACATGCACGTATGTATGTATATATTTCCTATAGACCTATAATCATAGTGAGCAAAAGTGGCAAAATGTTTATTTGTGGATCTCTATGATACATATGCATGTTATGAAAGTATTTGTTATATATGCATAGATGTGTATTTTACAGACATATAGAGTGCAAATGTGGCAACATGTTAAAAAATATATTTTATTTATACACACACACACTTTTTTCCTGAAACATTTCAAAGTAAGTTGCATACATCATTCCCTTCTCTCTAAATATGTTAGCTCCTGAGGACAAGAATGTTCTGGCATATAACCACAACAAAAATTACCATGGTCAAGAAATTTACGTCAATACAATATTGTTTTGAAGGCTATATACATTTTCTCTTCACTTTCTCAATTATGTTCTTTGTGGATTTTGGCTCACCAAGTCCCTGTCATAACTGTGTCATGATAACACAGCAGACACACCATTGAAGGTGAAACAAAAATTAACTGCTGTCGTGATGGGGCCTGCGCATCAGCCTCCTTCGCTTGGTGTGAACCGTGCCCGGGTTAGTACTTCCTCTATTCCAGTGCTTACTAGCCTTTCTGCTCATCATTTAACCATCTCAAGAGGAGAAAGCATGTCCACTTCCAGATAATCTCCTTAGCCTTTAAAGGTCTGCAGGCCTGGCATGTGTCTATATCCCCTAACTGATGTCATCTGTGCTGAGAACAACATCAGGAAGAAGCTCTGCAAATGCCACCTCCCCAACATTCCAATAAACCTTACTGCTCGGATTCAAGCTCCTGAACCAAGTGAGGCAGAGAAGGGCATTAGACATCCTACGAGTTGAAGGACTCAACAAGCCTGTAGCACCTGGTGAGGCAGCATTAGCTGGAGCAGCACTTCTCCATGGGTGTGGTCCCACAGCTGCACCATCTGGGCGGTTAGCTGGAATGCAAACTCCTGAACCCCACCCTTATGTGCTGTGACACATCCTCCAGGTGGCCATGCTGCACGCTCAAGTTTGAGAAGGACTGACCTGGAGTTAGTGTGTTCACAAACAGAAGCCATCTGCATCCATCCCAGCAGCATCTAGCAGAGTGGGAAGGGGTTTCCCTTCCAAAGCCTGTCAACAGATGACAGAGAGGGCCCCCCCTTCAGGTTAAGAGCAGCACCAACCTTCTCCTGAGCGAGTGAGGGCTCCTCTGGCAACTAGTCAAGGTCTCACATGGAGTCTGCACAGATGGGACAGCTAGAGGAATGTCATTCCCAGCAAACCCACGTGAGTGTGAGCACCCCACTTCTCTAGCACAAGGATTCATGTGATTTCCTTTTCTCTGTGAGATTTACGAAATCCCGAGTCCTAGGTGGCAGCCTTCCTTAGCAGACTTCATGAGTCTTTGAGATCCTCACAAGGTAACCGATGGCATCATCATAAGTAGTTCAGACAGAAGATATCATCCCTGGACAGGTGCTGCCTTAGAGGAATCAGCTTCTGGCTCAGCTGCGCCTGGGGACCACAGTGCAGGTGTCAGTGTTGGGAAGGAAAGTGGTGCGACATGCCAGGAAGACAGAGCAGAAGCTAAGTGATTCAGAGATGGTGTTTATACTTCAAAATGCCTTTCCTTCCAAGTTTCACATTTGGGGCTTCTAGGCCTCTTGGACTGAAGAGAAAGAACTGCAGTTTTCTCTTAAGTGTTCCGCACAGACTGGGGAGATGGGAATAGCAGCAAAATGCCCATGGCAACTTTCTAGCACCGGTTCCATAACTCAGGGTCAGCCCAGTTTAACAGGAAGCCTGCAGAAGGTGGAAGGAAGATGGGAATGTGGAGGAAGAGTGTGGAGAAGAGTCCAGTGAGGTGGAAAGAAGGGAGACAAGTGTGCTGATCTGCTCCCTTCCCCCGCACAGGGACACTGTCCGCTGTCACTCCCGAGTCATGTGTTTATATGCCCTAGCAAGGTCAGAGCAGGAATGACGATCTTAGCCTCCTCTGGCGTCCTGGCTAATTAAAATCAACCAAGAGTCAGACTGCTGAGAGGAAAATTATAGCAACAAAGTTTTCATTATTTTTCCTGAAAAAAAGATGGGAAAAGGAAACAGGGCCCAAGAGAAAGATGTTCATAAGCAAATCCAGTGCTTTTTGCTTTTTTTTTTTTTTTAATTAGGCTACATGTTCTGCGTGGAGCCCAACACAGGCTTGAACTCACGACCCTGAGATCAAGACCTGAGCCGAAATGCAGAGTCAGGTGCTTAGCCGACTGAGCCACCCAGGTGCCCCAGCCATGCCTTTTCTATGTAACCCCTTTTTGCAAAAGAAAATCATCCATGCAGGCTAGAACTACCTTTTGAGAACAAAGTTTATTCTGACCCGGAATTCTAATTTTTAAAGTCCTATCAATTACACCACGCAGGGTAGGAATTACTCAGACTTTTTCCCTCCTCGACTTCTTCTGAAAAACCAAATTGGCTAGCTATAGCTGAATTTAGCTGGGAAGTAACAAGCATTTCTTTATCATTAACTACCATAGAAAAGCACACTTAGCTTGCATCTCAAATGGTCTCCAGTAAAGTCTATTTTGCTTGCAGTAGTTGGGTTATCCTGATTTCTCTTCCCCAAGTTCTGCTCGCTCTCTGGGGAACGCTATTAAGTCTTGTTTTTCCCTTTTTTTGATTTGGGGGCACCTGGCCAGCGGAAGCCTCGCAGGTGCAGGCAGTCGGCAACGTTGTGGGCAATGTAGTAGAGGTTCAGCATGGCCGCGGGGCTGAGGATGTCCACCTCCGGCTTCTTCTGCTTCTTCCCGCCAGACTTGCCTCGGCTTTTTCCTTGTTTCCCTTTACCTGGCTTTCAAAGACAAGTATGTATGGGGCATAAGTTAGTTTTTCTGACCTTGAAATAATTTTCAGCATTTCCTATTGAACATTAGAAACAAAAACTCTTAAAAGAATTGTAATGATAACAAAAATTTTTGCATGGAGTGGGAGCAGTCACGTGCAATCTAATTCAACAAATGTGTATTAAGCACCCAGATTAAAAGAGACCAAACCTGAGGGATCCCTGGGTGGCTCAGCAGTTTAGCATTTGCCTTCAGCCCAGGGTGTGATGCTGGGATCTTGGGATCGAGTCCCATGTCTGGCCCCCTGCATGGAGCCTGCTTTTCCCTCTGTGTGTCTCTCATGAATAAATAAATGAAAATCTTTAAAAAAAAAAACAAAAACAAACTTTTTTAAATAAAAGAGAAACCTAATCTAATGATCATATGGACTTTGTTTGCATTGATTTGAATGAAATGAAAAAGACATTTTTAGCCAATCAGGGACATTTGGTAATATCAAGGAATTATTAATTCTGTTAGGTGTGGGCAGCCCTGGTGGCTCAGCGGTTTAGCGCCGCCTTCGGCCCAGGGCGTGATCCTGGATCCAGGATTGAGTCCCGCGTCGGGTTCCCTGCATGGAGCCTGCTTCTCCCTCTGCCTGTGTCTCTGCCTCTCTCTGTGTGTCTCTCATGAATAAATAAATTAAAATGTTTTTTAAAAAATTCTGTTAGCTGTGATAGTGGTATTGGGTCATGGAAGAAAATGTTTATGCATTTCAGAAATGCACATTATGATCTGTGGAAATGGAAATGAAAGAAGGCTGCTTTAAAATAGTGCAGCTCCCCCAAAAGACAGATGAAGAAAATGTGGCAAAATCCTGACAACTTCTGAGTCTGAGAAATGGATATATAAGAATTCATTTTACTATTCTATTTTTGTTATGTATAGAAATTTTCATAATAAAGATTCGTTAAAAACATTAGATAATGAGGATGCAAACACATATTTTGGCATTTGTTATGTTGTAGTCACTGCCTCATTAAGCAGTCATGAGGGTTGAGATGGATATAAGACACTTGGCATAGACTCTGACATGAAGGAAACAATAAATGGTTGTCCCCATCACTTTATCACTCCTCCAAGCTGTGTTTTGAGGCAGAGAGGCATTATTCCCGTCTTAAGAATGGAAAAATGGAGGCAGAGCAAGGTCACAGTGCAAACCAGTGTCCACTAGCTCAGCACCTGTGCTCTTGCCATGACCTTGCTACCAGGCCAGGGCCTTTTAGGAAAAAGCATGGATATTATCCTAATGTGGTAATAAACTATCTGAAGTTTTGCTAGAGCCACACAAAGCTGAATTGACATTTCTATGTCCTGTGACCCACCCGTACATAAAATAACAGATGGGGATGTATTATATGGAAAGTGTCTCCAAGAAAGAAGAGGAATGTGTAAGTTATCAAGAATACCTGCTAGGGCTAAATATTTGTATAGAATAGATGCCATGTTGATAGCATCTAATTTTAAAAATGTCCCAGGCAAAAAAATAAAAATAAAAAATAAAAATGTCCAGGCTAAATAAAGAGAAATAGAGTCGATGTGTTAAAAACACTAAAATACATTTTTGTTAAGTGAGATGGAATACACTTCTAGATACAAAACCCAGGAATGAAGTTGAGAATTATCTTGCAACACAGCGGCCTGGCTTTAATGTGGAAATTCAAATTAAAAAAAAAAAAAAGGGCAGCCCAATTGGCTCAGCGGTTTAGCACCACCTTCAGCCCAGGGCGTGGTCCTGGAGACCCGGGATCAAGTCTCATGTCAGGCTCCCTGCATGGAGCCTGCTTCTCCCTCTGCCTGTGTCTCTGCCTCTTTCTCCCTCTGCGTCTCTCATGAATAAATAAATGAAATCTTAAAAAAGAAAATGAAAAGCTAAGCCACAGTCTGGGAGAAAATGTTTCCAAATTGTATATCTGATAAAGCCCTTATATTCAGAATGGATAAAAGACTCTCAAAACACAATAAAAAACAACCAAACAACAACAAACACCCAGGCGTCCTGAACAAATACTTTCTCAAAGAAGATACACAAATGGCCAAAAGGCACACGAAAAGATACTCAACATCAAATCATTAGGGAAATGCAATTAAAACCACAATGAGGGATGCCTGGGTGGCTTAGCAGTTGAGCATCTGCCTTGGCTCCTGGGGTCCTGGGATCAAGTCCCACATCAGGCTTTCCGCATGGAGCCTGTTCCTCCCTCTGCCTGTGTCTCTGCTTCCCTCTCTGTGTCTCTCGTGAATAAATAAAAAAAATATATAAAAAAAACCGCAATGAGATACCAGCACACACTCATTAGAATGGCTCAGGTTACCAAGACTGACCATACCAAGTGCTGATGAAGATGTAGAAGATCTGGAACTCTCTGCTGCTGAGAATCTAACATGAAAGAGGCACTCTGGAAAACAGTATGGCAGTTTCTTTAAAAGGTTAAACACATACCTACCATATGATCCGCCATTCCACTGCTAGGTATTTACCAAGAGAAATGAAAGTGTATATCCTTTCTAAGACTTGAACATGCAATGTTGGTAGTAACTTTGTGGTAGTCTAAAGCCTGGAAACAGCCCACAAGTCCATCAGTGAGTGAATGAATGAACAAACTGTGGTATAACCATAACCATACACTAGAATATCACTAAGCAATAAAAAGAACTAGTGATGCATGCTACAACCACAACATGGGTTTTTAAATATTTAAAAATAATTTAAATTAAACATCTTATTTTTAAAAAATATTTTATTTATTTATTCATAGAGACACACACACAGAGAGAGAGAGGCAGAGACACAGGCAGAGGGGGAAGCAGGCTCCATGCAGAGAGCCCGACGCGGGACTCAATCCAGGGTCTCCAGAATCACGCCCTGGGCTGCAGGTGGCGCTAAACCACTGCGCCACCAGGGCTGCCCAAATTAAAGATCTTAAATATAATTTAAAAATAATTTAAAATTTAAAAAATAATTTTAAAGTAATTTGAGGGGATCCCTGGGTGGCGCAGCGGTTTGGCGCCTGCCTTTGGCCCAGGGCGCGATCCTGGAGACCCGGGATCGAATCCCACGTCGGGCTCCCGGTGCATGGAGCCTGCTTCTCCCTCTGCCTGTGTCTCTGCCCTTCTCTCTCTCTCTGACTATCATAAATAAATTTAAAAAAATTAAAAAAATAAAGTAATTTAAAATAATTTAAAATTTAATTTAAAAATAATTCTACAAGTGAGGGACACCTGGCTGGCTCAGTCAGTGGAGTGTGCGAGTCTTGATCTCAGGATTGTGGGTTCAAGCTCCATGTTGGGCGTAGAGATTACTTAAAAATAAAATCTTAAAAAATAATAATTATTATTATACAAGTGAAAGAAGCCAGACCAACACCCCCCCATACATACTGTATAATTCCATATGTTTAAAAAATCCTACAAATTACAAACTGATCTATAGTCAGGGCAGATCAGCAGCTGCCTGGGGTGGGAGGTGGCGGGGGTGGTACACGGAGAAGCAAGAGAAAAGAGCTGATTACAGAGGAGCACATGAGACTCCCAGGGGTGATCCACATGTCTGTTATCTTGATTGCAGTGATGGCTTAATGGGAGCATACAGATGCCAAAGTTATCAAATTGTACATTAAAATACGTGCAACTTATTGTACATCACTTATACCTCAATCAATCTGTGAAGACATTTTTGTGAGTGAAAACTTTCAGTGTCTCTGCCGATTGGGTTGGTTTAATACAACTCCATGGCCCTTGGCTGTTTCAGGTCCCAGAACACATAGGGTCCCAGAACACATAGCTCCTGCCTTGAGACTCTCCAGACTCCTTACTGAAGACCACACTGGCATTGCTTCTAGTTCCCAAACCTGCCCAACTGCTCCCCGCTCCCACTTCTTCCTGCTGACCCTCCCAGGGGAATATGTTACTTCTCTTTGGGCAGGGCTCTGCTCAAATATCACCTCTTTAGAAAACACCTCTCAGATACTGTGTCGATATTCTATCTATAACTAGAGTGACCATATAGTTTATTGTCCAAACCAAGACACTTCAACAGACATAAACTGGACTGTCCCAGGCAAGGAGGGAGGGGGGTACGGATGGTTTCCCAACAACCCTCTCAGCCTGTCATTTTCTAGCTCCTGATGCCAGGCACACTCCACTCTTTAATAGTGCTATTTTGTTCGTGTATTTATGGTGTGTTTCCTAGCCAGGGATTTGTCTATGAGGTCACCACTGAATTCCTAGGGTCTAAACCAATGTCTGGCACGTTTGTATGAAGAGATATTTGCTGAATGAATACATTGCAATTCAAATGCCATGCAACCCCAGGATTTAGAAAGCAAATGTAGAGATCTGCTTTTCTGGATTTTAAGATGGCTTCTTCCTTCATTCAACAAATACTTAACAAATATCTACTGAGCACCAGAACCTGCAATTCAGGGCTACTGTCTTCATGAAGCTTAGAGTTGGTGAAGGAGAATTTACAAATGCATTTAGTCACCAACATTAACTCACACTCCTGTGAGCAAGAACCCAGGGTGCCTGGCATTATGATGACACAGAATGGGCAGGGAGTGACCACAACTGGGACAGGAAGGAAGAAGGGTTTACTGAAGGCCAGCCTGTGGGCCGAGGGGCAGGGAATTCCCAGGCAAACAGCTTGTGTAAAGGGTCTGAGGTGGAAGGGAATATGCCAAATTGAAGGGACCTCTCAAAAAAGGTCAGTGTGGCTGGCATATAAGCAACTGTGGTGGGGGTGCAGAGTGAGGGGAGCTTAGGCTGGGAAGGTGGGCAGTGTATAGCTCTGGCCTACAGGCCTGGGAAGCTCAGGGGTTTAACTTTTATCCAAGGAGCAGTGGGAATCCATTAACTTCAATGACTTTATTAAATTGTTTTGTGGGGATCCCTGGGTGGCGCAGCGGTTTAGCGCCTGCCTTTGGCCCAGGGCGCGATCCTGGAGACCCGGGATCGAATCCCACGTCGGGCTCCCTGCATGGAGCCTGCTTCTCCCTCTGCCTGTGTCTCTGCCTCTCTCTCTCTGTGATGACTTTCATAAATAAAATTTTAAAAAAAATTAAAAAAATTCTTTAAAAAAAATAAATAAACTGTTTAGCTTCAGCTCCTGGGCTCTGAAAGAAAATGACAGTACCAACCATGCACAGCACCCCGGGCAATGACACAATTTAAATCAAGAGACATCTATTTAGTGCTTTTACAAGGAACGAAGTAGAAGGGACACAGATTTGCCAAACACATTTCTACACTAGAGTCAAATGGGGCTGAGGAGTGAGGCTTTCCAAGCTGAAATAGGTGAAGCTCTGTAAGTGAGGTGTAGAAGGTCACGGGGGCTTGGGGAGCAATGTGGCAGCGGGAGGTGCTTCGGAGCTGGGCCCATCTTGAAGAAAAGTAGATAAGTAGCTTCAGATGGGGCAGCTGCAGGAGGCTTGGAGAAGAATGTGGGTCTAGTGTGGTATGTGTTTTTGTTTGTTTGTTCATTTTGTTTAAAGTAGAGAAGTTAATACGGTGAGACACCTGGGTGGCTTAGTGGTTGAGGGTCTGGCTTCGGCTCAGGCCATGATCCCCAGGTCCTGGGATCGAGTTGTGAATCAGACTCCTCTCAGGGAGCCCGCTTCTCCATCTGCCTATGTCTCTAGCCTCTTTGTGTCTCTCGTGATAAATAAAATCTTTAAAAAGAAGTTAATGTGGTAAATAAAGCTCAAGGTGAGGAATAGCAGTGCTTATGAGTTTGAGGCCAGGAGAATGAACATGCCATTGGAAAGTGCAGAGAAGGTAGCGGTGAAAAGACCTGGATTGTGAACACAGTTGGGAAATGCTCTGGGGTGGAGAGATCCAATGGAGAACTGGAGTGGTTTGGCTTCAGATGTTGGTCTGTGAGCCAACGACTTGCAGGTGGGATGGACGTTTAAGGATGCTGCAAGCCTTCCTGGGCATCAAATTCAAGAATTCCCTGCGCAAAAGGTCTCCTCCGGAGCCCTTCCAAAAACTAGGGTTGGAAGAGACCATCGCCGCGAGGACCCCTCGCACCACGGCTCCCTTTCCGCTTCTCAATCCGCAGAGGCGAATCCTGCGCAGGACCCAGGACAGCGGCAGCAGGCGGCGCCCGTCCCGGCTCCCTGCGCTCGCGCGCCCCTGTGCCGGCCTCCCTTTATTTCTCCCGCGTCTGGTGGTGAAGGTGGCGCGACAGAACCAAGGAACGGAAACTGACCAGCTCACAGAAGAGGGCTCCGCCGGCTGCGCTCGCTGTGCCCGTGCGCCCCCCCGCCCCCCGCCTCCCCCGTCCTCTCTCGACCCCAAGCGTTCAGGTCTCTAGGCTGGACATCACACACCTGGGTAAAGGTGCCTCGGCGAGGCGCAACGCTCTTAAACTAACTGAGCGAAAGCCTCGGATCTCAGACGTAAATAAGGCCATTACCATGGTAATCCCTCAGTCGAGCGGGTGAGCGCCGCACGGGTTCCCAGTCCCGAAACAGAGAGAGCGAGCCCAGTTCTCCGCCTCGCCTGCGGGCGGCGCCCCCGCGCCCATCCCCGCGCCGACCGGGTGCTCCCCGCTCGCCAGCGACCCGCCGCCGCCCCGGACGCTCAGGGGAGCCCGGCGGGGTTAGGGGGCAGCCGGCCACCCAGCCGCCGCCACGCGGAGCCTGGGCACCCGCCGCACGGAGGCCGCGCGCCGCGACACTCACGGCGAGCGCGCCCCGGGGACTGGGGGCACCGGGGGCACCGGGGGCACCGGGGCACCGGGCTCGCGGGGGCGCGGGCGGGCCGCGCGCACAAACGCCCGGCGGCGCGCGCCCCGGGGCACGGGGGACGGGGGACGGGGCCGCGCGGTGTTTGCCTGTTGCCGGGATACCGGGGGCCGCGCGCGCAGCCGTTGGGCCCCGCGGGGCAGCCGGTCCGCAGGCCCCGCCGGCCCCGCCGCGCTGGCTGGGCCGCTTCACCTGGCGCCAGGCGCGGGCGGCGAGGGCCCGGGGCCCAGCCTCGCGGGGCGTGGGGGCCGGACGCGGCGGGTGCGCTCCCGGCCTCGCAGCGGGCGGCTTGCGCCGTGGCGCTCGGACACCCACGGGCTGACCGTGCACAAGTCACCGGAGACGCCATGACCTTTTTCGGAAAATGACAAACGGCCTGTGAAGGTTGACGTGAGAAAAACATGGGAAACGGTTCATGAAGAGCCTGGGACACGCCCCAGAAGAGTCAACTCCTGCCAGAAAGGCTCTTGGGCCCCAAATGGGAGTAAGGAAGGCTGTAGGGCAGGAGCAGCTCCCTTCCAGCCTCGGGAGTCCACCTCGGTCTCGGTGCCTGTTTACTCGTGTTCTCCGCGGGGAGCAGCCTTTGTAGACTCGTGTCTTTGCGCGCGGCGGCAGTCGCAGACTGGGGCTAGTTGCCGAGATCCAGGGAAGCAGCCCCCTCTCTCTACCAGGCCCGGCGCTTCTTGGTTCTCGCCGATGTCCGAGCCTCAGTT